ACTAACTAACTAACTAACTAACTAACTAACTAACTAACTAACTAACTAACTACTACTACTACTACTACCTACTACTACTACTACTACTACTACTACTACTACTACTACTACTACTACTACTACTACTACCATCACCACCACCACGACGACTACTACTACGACTGCGACTACTACTACTACTACTACTACTACTACTACTACTATTACTACTACTACTACTACTACTACTACTACTACTACTCCTACTGCTACTACTGCGACTACTGCTGCTACTACTACTACTACTACTGCTGCTACTACTACTACTACTACGACAGCCGCCCACCTGTCCTCGCCGGAGACTGCAACTACAGCAGCTTCGGTTCAGCGCTTTCAGATTTTGGGGTTTGGATCATCGCTGTTGAAGGGAAGTCATCAAACTAGTCACAAGCATCCCCCCTTCCGTGAATCCTGTTTCTCAAAACTCGTAAACCCTAAAACCTAAAACCCATGGACCTGCCTGCCTGCTGGGTTCAAGCGATCTTCTTGGTCGGCTTTGCACGCCTTGCGTCGTGGTCTCTGAAATCTCACATCATGCTGACGCAAACTCTCTGTGCCGCTCTCGCTCTCTCGGCCATGGGCCACCGTCTGCAGCAGGACAATGCTTGCACTCACCAAGGAATGAGGGTTTGGAGCAGTGTGGCGTGGGTTCAGGATCGAAGAGGTCATGGGGTTTTGGTCGCAGGTCGTCTACAACCTTCAACCCGGATGACAAAGGCACAGCCTAAATCCTCAATATTTGATTCTTTTTCGGGCCTTTCATGTGCAAGTTTTCCCGGTACTGAGGAGTTTTAGGTTAGGGTGCAGGGAGGGTTCCGGGTTTAGGGTAGATTGTGGCAAATTCAGTCCCTGCTGGTGCTGAAGCAGGTATCTAGTAGCATGCATACACTTTAACTTGGAAGTGGCAGTGCCCGAAGGCTGCTTAGGGTTTTCTTACGTCTCTGCACCTCTGCATCTGCAATTGGAACCAACCCGTCTGAGAGATTTGGTGTCGTATTTGGCTGTCGATGCATGGAAGCCGTTTTAGGGAAGCTGACGTTTGGAGTTCTCGATCGGTTTCGTAGTGGGAGAGCCCTCGTTAATATACTGTAATGCCATATGACATATATTATACGGTACTCTGTCAAGATAATTACGGTGTCTGTATGTCCTTTTTCCGCGACATCACTGTATGTGCTTCCATTCCTTGGGATGCGGCAAATATCCCACAAACCCTAAACCCTCAAGCCCTAAACCCTAAGCCCTTAAAGCCCTAAACCCTAAACCCCCATAGCCCTAAAGCCCTTAACTTCCCTAAACCCTGAACCCCTGAAGCCCTAAACCCCTAAACCCGACCCTGCACCCTAAACCCTCAACACCGAGCCCGGCCTTGAGCCCCAAACCCTAAACCCTAAACCCTAAACCCTAAACCCTAAACCCTAATCTACATGCACTGCAGGACTCGGAAGAGAGTCTTTCTACAGATTGGGGCGGCCCGAAGGAGTGCAACTACGTGGCTCCGCAAGAAGCAGGTGACATGGGCTTCCCGGCAGAACCTGGGTTAGATTTTTGGGGTTGCTGCCGGTTTTGGTATGGCTTTGGACATGTCTTGGGAGCTGGTTTACCTAGACACTTTCCGGCTGTGGTTACGTGGACTCTAAATTTCTCCAAATAACAGGCGTTCAGGTGCTGGTGTGTACTTCTCCCTCGTGGTAAAGAGTGGTTCTGATTGCTGGAGCTTGCTGACTAGAAACGGGGCCACCGTTGTCGTAGATCTCTCAATAACACAAACCTCTGTGTTAAAACCCTAAACCCGAAATTTGTCGAGTTCTCAGCGGTCGCTTCCTAGAGAACGCGACATGACCGCAAACGGCCTGAAACGTCCTGTGCTGTCGACAAGGTTCTGATAGTTCTGAAGCTTCTTTTCTCTCGTATAGAGGTTGGAGCCATTAGCAACAATATCCGATTCCTAGCTTACACTGTATTGTAAATCTCCCATATTACGAGGGTATCGTCCTGGGTCTTGTAGTCTTAAGACTACTATAGGACATTTCCGTCTAGTTACCGTTGACGAGTCCTATCAGCCTATCGGGGATTTCCAATCCAGGTTACCCAGGAATGGAAAAGCTGACCAGCGAAAGCTGGACTGCAGAATCTGGAGATGCTGATGGAAAGCATGTTCTTTGTTATGCCTACGGGCCAGCGTGTCTCGACTGATTTTACTTCGCGGGCTTGTCCACGCGTGTCTCGGTGGATGGATGGATGGATGGATGGATGGATGGATGGATGGATGGATGGATGGATGGATGGATGGATGGATGGATGGATGGATGGATATGTATGTATATATGTATGTGTGTTGTGTTTTGCGCTTGTGTGTGTGTGTGTTCAAATGTATGGGGTATATTGTATTGGATTGTATCGTATCGTATTGCAACTGTAGTTTTATAGTTAATGTTATTGTCTTGATTGTCTTGTATTGTATATGCGATGGAATTGCACGCTATGGTCGGCATGGTCTGGTGTGGTATGGTGTGGCATGGTGCGGCATGGTGTGGCATGGTCTGGTATGGTAGGGTAACGTATGATATGGCCTGGTATGGCAATGTATTGTACTGCATGTTCTTGAGATGCCTGGAGTTGTCTGACATTGTTATGTCTTGTCTCTTCTTGTCTTGTATGTGTTTATCATTATTGTCTATCTACGAACGCCCATAGTGTATGTGTACTTCTCTCTCCATAGATAGATAGATCGATAGATAGATATTCTCAGGTTTTGCCCTCGCAAGGCGTATCTTGCCTTACCATTTTAAGCTCCAACTCCTGGCCCTATAGGCTATGGGAGATAGTGCCGAAGGGCTACACGGCCCGGGGTCGGTATATTCATAATGTAGGAACGTGATTCAGAAACCCGGGTCCTATTCCCCAACATATTAGGATCCACGTATAGAGCCCTAGGAAAGACCCCAGGTTGCTTAATCAGGTTTAGGGTTTAGGGTTTAGGGTCTAGGGTTTATATATTAGGCTGCAGTGCTCCTGAGCCCAGGAGTACCCCTAGACTTGAAGTTGCAGTCTTAAAGGATCTCACCCTTAAGGAGCGCAGCTGCGCTGTTCGGCTCCTCATGACTCCTGAGTGTGGTTCTCCAAATTCCGCGACTCTTAGAGGTTTGAGACAGAGCAGACTTCGACATGGTGCTTTCCCACAGTGCCGTACACAGGTGTTTGCTTTTTTTGGAAACTTGCTAACATCTGGAATTCCCAAGAAAAATCTCTCCAGTCTCCTAGACTGGCAGGCTCCTTAAAGCATGTTGAAACAACTTGATGCTAGATCTCGAGCTGCGCAGGTTCTATATAATAGTGCGCTACGCTCGGACACCGTGCAGCGAATCCAAGTCAAAAGGGGTTCTATATATGCACAACATGCTCAGGCAATGCACGATTCCTGTCACAGCAAACCCAAAACCCCCCGAAGGTTCGCGAAATATGAAAAAGAGCAAGTTGGTGCCTGGAAGTACAATGAGGAGACGTCGATGATCGAGCAACTTGTTTGTATACTTGCAGCCTGCAGCGGATGCAGTGTCTGAGCAATTTGTCATAACGTCCACGGTACTGTATCCGCCGGTATCCTCTATATATATATATATACACTTGTTCATACAACCACCTGTATATTTACATGTATTTATGTACTTATTTATGTATACAACACTGTGCCCCAAAAATCAAATCCCGCTGTCACCTATGGCGGCCCTAGATTCGAGTTTAGGGCTGATGTAAGCCCCTACAGATTTCCTTGGGATCTGGAGCCTTTGGTGTCCAGTCGTAGGCTAGAGGACTTGGACGTCTTCTCTGCTATTTCCTATATAGAACCTGTTAGCTTAAGCAAAAGAACTTAAGTCGAGAAGCAACTGTACGCCTAACCCAGTGATCAGAAACCCTAGCCCTTGACCCAAATTTTGATCGCTGCCGGCAGCATTGGAGGAAGAAGGTAAGAAGGCAAGCAACGAAGAACGGGTTTGGCTGATTTGGCTGTCTACTGACGACGACGAGAATAAGAAGCCAGCCCTAACGGTCCAAAAGATTCAATAATCTGGTGGTCCTTGGGTTGAGTCGAATACTTGGTTGTGTAGGATGCTATATCTCCACTGTGGAGTGGATGATTATCGGAGAGTTTTACTTTCGGTAGTTTCACCCTTGAGGATGCAGATGCCCGGTTCGAAGCCACTCACTTGGAACTTGAGGATTGGATTCTGACCTCATGGACGGACAAGGAACCCGAACCCTAAGCCCAAAACCCTGAACCTACCTAACCCCCAAACCCAAAAGGAAGCCCGGAAGCATGAAACCGGGCCATCGTCGAGGTTCTGGTACTCCAAAAGCCATTGTCCGGGTATGTGCACGTCTTGCTGCAACAGCAACAAGGGCAACGAACCTCACAGCGTCCTGAACAAGAAGCTGCCTCTTGGCCTACCGTTATGGGGTTGGAGCTTCAGGTTTGGGTAGGTGTTCGGGGTATGGGAATGGGACTCCGCCTGAGGGCACAATCCAGTGGACAATTCCTTTCGACAGCTCATAGCTAACACGTTTCTGACACCGGCGTTGTTCTGCGATGCTGAAGAAGGAGCCAGTCATATCAACATCTGAACTGACAAGAGCTGCGTTTGGAGATCGCGAAGGCTCAGTGCTGTCTGTACATGATGGACTCTGACTACGCGTTTCGGGTTGAGGTACGTAGTTGTAGCTGCATATGTAGACCTTAAAGACCCTAAACCCTAAACC